AAAGTGTCCCTGCAGAGAGCTCCGCTATTTCTTTGACAGTTCTTTGACATTTACAGAGGTTGCAGCAACGTATCTATTTGTTTCCGAATAAAAACATCTGTATCCTAAATGGATACAAATAGATACATTGTTGCAACCTCTGTAAATGTCAAAGAACTGTCAAAGAAATAGCAGAGCTCTCTGCAGGGACACTTTTTTGCCGGCTGTAGACAGGATGAAAAATCGGCCGATTTTTTTTACCATTGGTGGTAACGTCGGCCGCTTGAACGACCGATTTTTTTTCGTTTTTTAAAAGAAAAAAATCGGCCGTTTTTCTCCCCGTCTATGGCCTGCATATCTCTCTCCTCCATTCATATAAAAAAAAAATAAAAAATAAGGGGGGGGGGGGGGGGGGGCAGGCTATAGGGACTGATCACTGTGCTAGCCAATCAGTGTCTATCACAGCGATCATGTGACCCTGAATCCGATTGTTAGAATGGGACCCGGGGCGCTCGGTGACACCGCGGTCTCTGTGCTGGGGGTGCACTGTGCGGTGCGCTCCCAGCATACAGACAGGTACGCAAATATGCGCCCCCACGGAAAAAATCCGAGTTCTGTGAGGCCGCGTTTTTGCAGTACCACGGGGTCAAGGTCTGCATTCCATCATGAACCCAGTTATGGCCTCACCTGTGGTCGGAGGACCCCGCACAATGACGGCTCTCAGCTGTTCATGCTGACGCCGAAACTTCCCTCATCTGGTCCAGGCGGGCCTGGAGCTTCCTATGGGCCGGGTTAATCCTCCAAACCATCTTCAAGTTCTCCTCACGTTTTCTTTTAACGATATCTCTCAGAAGAACCTGAAGCTTCTCGTAACTCGTCGTCCCAGGTTTGGAAAACCTCAAAGCAGGCAACCATGACCTACAACAACAAAGCCAGGACATGTAGAGGACACGTAACCACATGAACAGTGTGGAGCCTCGGGATTGGTACTTCACTGTGACCAATGACAGGTACACTTTGTGCCAAATCCTACCTTCTCAAACTCCTCATAGGCCACATGCATGAGTTTCCCGGGTGCCCAGAACCTTCAGCAGCTGGGAACTGAGGTCTCGGGAGATGGCTTCCACCAGCCGCAGGGCTCTCTGAATGGGGTACTTGGTGTTGCGGATTTTTCTCAGGTGGGTAAAGATGGCTACCAGAGCCTGTCGTATTTTGTCCAGTTCGGTGGCTGACAACAGGTCGTTCAAAGGGAAGTCCTTCATGAGAGGGTTGTAGTCATTCACGGTTTCCAAGGCTTGCTTGAGACCTAATCAACAAGGTGACAGATTCCACATGAAAAGGCAAACCCATCACAAGGCCACCGAAAAAAAAAACCCCAAAACGGGCATCTCGGGGTTCCATCGCTTACCGGTGTCGGTGTCAAAGCTGACCGTGGCGTGGAATCGCTTGCCGTGCTTCAAGATGTCCAACGTCAGAAGAACCTCGGGGCTCTCGCGCTTCTCCTGGATGCGGTACAGCGCCCTCTCCAGGTTTAGCCAGAAACTGATCTCCTGCAGCGCCGTGCCAGACGCCGGATCGCGGTCCAGTTTTGTTACCTAAAACAAGTTTGGGTTTAGTTACTGGAAAAACAAAAAAAGAAAAAAAAAAAAAAAAAACCTTGACCCCAAAGGGTCCGCCCATCCAAAATAAAGGTCAAAAAAGAATCAGTGGCTCAATGGTTAGCATCAGCACTGGGTTCCCCACACCATACGAATTGCATGGAGTTTGCATGTTCTCCCTGTGCCTGCATGGGTTTCCTTCGGGTACTCCTGACCCCTCCCCCAACACATGCTGGTAGATTAGCCCCAATGTGTGAGATGCAGATTAGATTGTCAGCTCCTGAGGGCAGGGAGCGACGTGAATGTACAGTGCTGTGTAAATGGTTGGTGCAATATCAACACCGTCATAAATAAAAGGAACGGATACTGAACATGGGGGGGTCACTAATGGGCCCAATACCTCTCCAGCTCCTGTAACCCAAGGGGGGGGGGGGGGGGGGGAACCAAGATCTTCCCGATTTCCTAGGTCTGTAACCCCCCCCCCCCAAACTCCCATTCTAACAACTAGGGATGCACAAATACTGATCGTTTTTTTATTAGTCGGTGAATATGAGAACTGATACTTTGGTCCAGGACTCGCCGATGCGTTGTGGTGCGATTCACGTTCACGGGTGCCATTCCTGTCCAAATCACACGCGGTTCCCCACTGCTCCTGTGTGAACCCCGGCTTGTTCCGAGCTCAGACAGGAGCGGTGCGGGAATCCTCCCTGCAGGAATCTCATGCTGAGTCTCAGTGGTAGGAGAGGAGGGGAAGCAGCAGGGATTTCACATCAACGCCACTTTTTTTTCCCCCCCCCTCATGCAGAGTCGACAGTTCAGGCTAGAGGGCATCTGATTGATCAGCTGCTGGCCTCTGCACTGTGTAAAAAGGAGGTTTGATCATCTCTTCACTGATCATCCCCTTCTTCCAGAGTCCCCTAAATGTTTCCTGATAGAACAGGTTTGGAGTCACTAGCATTACACACCAAACTGAGCATGTGCATTTTTTTTCTTCTTGAAAGGGTGCATGTGATCAGCACAGGAACAATCAGAACTGTCCAGACAGATGTCAGGGGTTCTGCATTCTCCTAGAGCAAAATGAAAACTCCTCCTACAAGCTTTAACCAGTGCTCTGCTGGACACTTATAGAAGTCACAAGACTGCTCTATACGCTGATGGGAAAAGGGATTTATCAGTTTATATTTACTGAAATAATTGCATTTCCATGTTCTGTGTACTGGGGGAGAGCGGACAGAGGGAACGCGGGGGCCGGGGAGAGCGCACACAGGGAACGCGGGGGCCGGGGAGAGCGCACACAGGGAACGCGGGGGCCGGGGAGAGCGCACACAGGGAACGCGGGGGCCGGGAGAGCGCACACAGGGAACGCGGGGGCCGGGGAGAGCGCACACAGGGAACGCGGGGGCCGGGGAGAGCGCACACAGGGAACGCGGGGGCCGGGGGAGCCACACAGGGCGGGGCCGGGGAGAGCGCACACAGGGAACGCGGGGGCCGGGGAGAGCGCACACAGGGAACGCGGGGGCCGGGGAGAGCGCACACAGGGAACGCGGGGGCCGGGGAGAGCGCACACAGGGAACGCGGGGGCCGGGGAGAGCGCACACAGGGAACGCGGGGGCCGGGGAGAGCGCACACAGGGAACGCGGGGGCCGGGGAGAGCGCACACAGGGAACGCGGGGGGCCGGGGAGAGCGCACACAGGGAACGCGGGCGGGGCCGGGGAGAGCGCACACAGGGAACGCGGGGGGCCGGGGAGAGCGCACACAGGGAACGCGGGGGCCGGGGAGAGCGCACACAGGGAACGCGGGGGCCGGGGAGAGCGCACACAGGGAACGCGGGGGCCGGGAGAGCGCACACAGGGAACGCGGGGGCCGGGGAGAGCGCACACAGGGAACGCGGGGGCCGGGGAGAGCGCACACAGGGAACGCGGGGGCCGGGGAGAGCGCACACAGGGAACGCGGGGGCCGGGGAGAGCGCACACAGGGAACGCGGGGGCCGGGGAGAGCGCACACAGGGAACGCGGGGGCCGGGGAGAGCGCACACAGGGAACGCGGGGCCGGGAGAGCGCACACAGGGAACGCGGGGGCCGGGGAGAGCGCGACACACAGGGAACGCGGGGGCCGGGGAGAGCGCACACAGGGAACGCGGGGGCCGGGGAGAGCGCACACAGGGAACGCGGGGGCCGGGGAGAGCGCACACAGGGAACGCGGGGGCCGGGGAGAGCGCACACAGGGAACGCGGGGGCCGGGGAGAGCGCACACAGGGAACGCGGGGGCCGGGGAGAGCGCACACAGGGAACGCGGGGGCCGGGGAGAGCGCACACAGGGAACGCGGGGGCCGGGGAGAGCGCACACAGGGAACGCGGGGGCCGGGGAGAGCGCACACAGGGAACGCGGGGGCCGGGGAGAGCGCACACAGGGAACGCGGGGGCCGGGGAGAGCGCACACACAGGGAACGCGGGGGCCGGGGAGAGAGCGCACACAGGGAACGCGGGGGCCGGGGAGAGCGCACACAGGGAACGCGGGGGGCCGGGGAGAGCGCACACAGGGAACGCGGGGGCCGGGGAGAGCGCACACAGGGAACGCGGGGGCCGGGAGAGCGCACACAGGGAACGCGGGGGCCGGGGAGAGCGCACACAGGGAACGCGGGGGCCGGGGGAGAGCGCACACAGGGAACGCGGGGGGCCGGGGAGAGCGCACACAGGGAACGCGGGGGCCGGGGGGAGAGCGCACACAGGGAACGCGGGGGGCCGGGAGAGCGCACACAGGGAACGCGGGGCCGGGAGAGCGCACACAGGGAACGCGGGGGGGCCGGGGAGAGCGCACACAGGGAACGCGGGGGCCGGGGAGAGCGCACACAGGGAACGCGGGGGCCGGGGAGAGCGCACACAGGGAACGCGGGGGCCGGGAGAGCGCACACAGGGAACGCGGGGGCCGGGGAGAGCGCACACAGGGAACGCGGGGGCCGGGGAGAGCGCACACAGGGAACGCGGGGCCGGGGAGAGCGCACACAGGGAACGCGGGGGCCGGGGAGAGCGCACACAGGGAACGCGGGGGCCGGGGAGAGCGCACACAGGGAACGCGGGGGCCGGGGGAGAGCGCACACAGGGAACGCGGGGGCCGGGGAGAGCGCACACAGGGAACGCGGGGGCCGGGGAGAGCGCACACAGGGAACGCGGGGGCCGGGGAGAGCGCACACAGGGAACGCGGGGCCGGGGAGAGCGCACACAGGGAACGCGGGGGCCGGGGAGAGCGCACACAGGGAACGCGGGGGCCGGGGAGAGCGCACACAGGGAACGCGGGGCCGGGGAGAGCGCACACAGGGAACGCGGGGGCCGGGGAGGGCGCACACAGTGAACGCGGGGTCCGGGGAGGGCGGATACAGGGAACGCGGGGTCCGGGGAGAGCGGACAGAGGGAACGCGGGGTCCGGGGAGAGCGGACAGAGGGAACGCGGGGTCCGGGGAGAGCGGACAGAGGGAACGCGGGGTCCGGGGAGAGCGGACAGAGGGAACGCGGGGTCCGGGGAGAGCGGACAGAGGGAACGCGGGGTCCGGGGAGAGCGGACAGAGGGAACGCGGGGTCCGGGGAGAGCGGACAGAGGGAACGCGGGTCCGGGGAGAGCGGACAGAGGGAACGCGGGGTCCGGGGAGAGCGGACAGAGGGAACGCGGGGTCCGGGGAGAGCGGACAGAGGGAACGCGGGTCCGGGGAGAGCGCGGATATAGTGAATGCGGGGTCCGGGGAGAGCGGATATAGTGAATGCGGGGTCCGGGGAGAGCAGATAGAGGGAATGTGGGGACAATCTAGAAGAAGGGGGGGGGGGGGGGGGGGGGGGGGGGGGGGGGGGGGGGGGGGGGGGGTATATTTGGGTAAATCCGGGACACTCAGTGACTCTCCTTTACCATGAAGAATACCCGGAAAGGACAGGAATTCTCTCCCTTTCTATGTTCTAGACTTCTGAGGTCAGATCTGGGAGAGGACATTTGCAGGAACACGGTGGGTCCCACACACAACACACGGGGCCCACAGACGACACACGGGGCCCATTGCCTTGGAATACGTGTTGGAGTTTCACCTTCTGAATCTCGCGGATCCAGCGGTTGACCCCGGATTGCAGCTGGTTGAGGTAAGTCGGATCTTCTACTTTGTCTCCGAAATCTGTGACTTTGGGCTTCTCGCCCCTCTCGTAGCACTGCTTGGCCACATTGGTGATGATGGGATGGATGAGGAGACTGATCTCCGGGATCTCAATGTTCTGCTGCAAGTGTAGGAGGCCCATTTCCAGCTCCGCGATCTTCTTCTCAACTGAAGGCGCCATTTTGTCTCCATCCCTGAGGAAAATAAATACAAAACACGGCTACAGTATGAACAGCTACAAAAGCCGGAGCCATGGGGATCACTCACTAAATGCCACTTCAATCCTGAGAAGCAGACGAGGAAGGATCTTCAGAACAGGAATGGTAAATAGATCTGCGGGAACTGATCCCATCGAGTCACCAGGGAATCCGTTGCTTCCATATAAAGACAACCTGAAGTGATAACCAAGACTTAATCCGGCATAAACATCAACTTCCTCAAACGTGATGACGTCACTGCGCTTGCGCTTCGTAATTTATGACGAAATGCGTCGGGCGAAGCTTTGAACTGACATCGCGTTTGAGGAAGTCAACGTCTATGCCGGCTTAAGTCTTAGTAATCACATGCGCATGTTTAATTTATTTAAGATCTACTCCCATAATACAACAGGCGCATGTGAGGGCAAAGGCATAAGCCGGCATAGACATTGACTTCCTCAAACGCGATGACGTCAGTTCGAAGCTCCGCCTGACGTGTTTTGTAACTGACGAAACATGGTGGATGTAGCTTGACAATGACGTCATCGCGTTTGAGGAAGTCAATGTCTATGCCGGCTTGAGCCTTTGCCCTCACATGCGACTGTTGTATTATATGGGGGAAGATCTTAAAATCATTTTAAGGTTTTACACTATGGAGAGGCTTCCTGTTTGCCTTGTATGCTACACTGCGGGGGTTACTTGTACCCTATTGGTGTTCCCATCTACCATTGAGGCCGATGCGGGAGCACCTTGGATACCCGAGGCCGCCGCCGGAGCATCTTGGATACCCGAGGATATCCGACAAGCTCTTTGACCATTGGGAGCTGGTAAGAGTGTATCCCATTACCACTTTCGGGGGCCGGTGTTGAGCGATGGCACTTTGATAAGTTCATTCCTTCCTAATAGCATACTTACTAACACTTGAATGGGCCCCGCGTAGGAGGACTCCGACCCGCTTGTTTATGTTTGTATATTTTGAATGCACGTCAATATTTAGGTTGCGCACGACACATTTTGAGTGTTTTGGGTGGAAGGAATATCCCTTGAGTATGTTTGCTGCTTAACAAGTCCTCTTTTGTGGATGTACACAGGGGCGCGGCTACACACACAGGGGCGCGGCTACACACAGGGGCGCGGCTACACACAGGGGCGCGGCTACACACAGGGGCAATCTGTGCTTCCCCCATAGATCTTAGTACTTGGAGAGAAACCTGTCCTGTTTGTGGTTTAACCTGGAGGTCCACATCACCCGCATCCCCAGCTGTGATACAGGTCCTGAGCACCTCCAGATGTAGGGGGCACTCTGCCAGGTTCTCACAGCGGCCGCGCTGCCTACATACCTGCACGCCATTTCCAGGGTGGGATTCCCATAGCGGCAACAATGGACCACACCCCATCACACGGTTCTGAAACCGCCACTTGCCGCCATCACAAGCCCACGTGACACCACGGAAGCAGAATCGGCAGACGGGACGCGTCCTGGAGGTGTGTCGACTTACTGACTGAATGAGCGCAAAGCGAACTACAAGATTTATCCTGACCGCCGCCCCTGACTGACGTCCACCAATCATTTCACAGTACCTGTCGGCTTTCCCCGATTCCCGGATGTAAGACTTGAAGAAAGGGGCGACGGCATTGCTGATGAACGAATGTAACGTCTCGTACGGAGAATCCTCGCTGAGCGTCAGAACTCGCAGCTGGGAGGAGATCGGCTTGTCCGCATCAATAACAGGCGTGCGTTTTATAAACGCCAAACTACAACAAAACAGAGAAGGTTACATTTATAAACAGCAGAGGAAGGAGAATATATACACACATTATATATACACACAGTAGGAGAGGTCACATCTATGTACAGCAGGGAAGGAGAATATATACACACATTATATATACACACAGTAGGAGAGGTCACATCTATGTACAGCAGGGAAGGAGAATATATACACACATTATATACACACACAGTAGGAGAGGTCACATCTATGTACAGCAGGGAAGGAGAATATATACACACATTATATACACACACAGTAGGAGAGGTCACATCTATGTACAGCAGGGAAGGAGAATATATACACACAGTAGGAGAGGTCACATCTATGTACAGCAGGGAAGGAGAATATATACACACATTATATACACACAGTAGGAGAGGTCACATCTATGTACAGCAGGGAAGGAGAATATATACACACATTATATATACACACAGTAGGAGAGGTCACATCTATGTACAGCAGGGAAGGAGAATATATACACACATTATATATACACACAGTAGGAGAGGTCACATCTATATACAGCACATAATGAAAAGTCTTAGAGGTGATGGGTATAGAATGGGACCTAACCACTTCGGATAATACAAGGGAAGGGATGGTCGCGCTCATCCGACCCCAGGAGTCCAACGATGAGGAATGGCCTCAGACGCTGATCTGGCACAAAATTTCTGACTGTCTAAAATTTGTTCGGAATTTGACCCATGTATGGCCTGCATACCAGTGCAGACTGGCGACAGGGGGTGGGCGCTTCTGTGACAGGTGACCGGCGGGTGGGCGGTTCTGTGACAGGCGACCGGCGGTTCTGTGACAGGCGACCGGCGGTTCTGTGACAGGCGACCGGCGGTTCTGTGACAGGCGACCGGCGGTTCTGTGACAGGCGACCGGCGGTTCTGTGACAGGCGACCGGCGGTTCTGTGACAGGCGACCGGTGGTGGGCGGTTCTGTGACAGGTGACCGGCGGTTCTGTGACAGGCGACCGGCGGTTCTGTGACAGGCGACCGGCGGTTCTGTGACAGGCGACCGGCGGTTCTGTGACAGGCGACCGGCGGTTCTGTGACAGGCGACCGGCGGTTCTGTGACAGGCGACCGGCGGTTCTGTGACAGGCGACCGGCGGTTCTGTGACAGGCGACCGGTGGTGGGCGGTTCTGTGACAGGTGACCGGCGGTTCTGTGACAGGCGACCGGCGGTTCTGTGACAGGCGACCGGCGGTTCTGTGACAGGCGACCGGCGGTTCTGTGACAGGCGACCGGCGGTTCTGTGACAGGCGACCGGCGGTTCTGTGACAGGCGACCGGCGGTTCTGTGACAGGCGACCGGCGGTTCTGTGACAGGCGACCGGCGGTTCTGTGACAGGCGACCGGCGGTTCTGTGACAGGCGACCGGCGGTTCTGTGACAGGCGACCGGCGGTTCTGTGACAGGCGACCGGCGGTTCTGTGACAGGCGACCGGCGGTTCTGTGACAGGCGACCGGCGGTGGGCGGTTCTGTGACAGGCGACCGGCGGTGGGGGCGGTTCTGTGACAGGTGACCGGCGGTTCTGTGACAGGTGACCGGCGGTTCTTCTGACAGGTGACCGGCGGTTCTGTGACAGGTGACCGGCGGTTCTGTGACAGGTGACCGGCGGTTCTGTGACAGGTGACCGGCGGTTCTGTGACAGGTGACCGGCGGTTCTGTGACAGGTGACCGGCGGTTCTGTGACAGGTGACCGGCGGTTCTGTGACAGGTGACCGGCGGTTCTGTGACAGGTGACCGGCGGTTCTGTGACAGGTGACCGGCGGTTCTATGACAGGTGACCGGCGGTTCTGTGACAGGTGACTGGCGGTGGGGCGGTGCTATGACAGGTGACCGGCGGTTCTATGACAGGTGACCGGCGGTTCTATGACAGGTGACCGGCGGTTCTATGACAGGTGACCGGCGGTTCTATGACAGGTGACCGGCGGTTCTATGACAGGTGACCGGCGGTTCTATGACAGGTGACTGGCGGTGGGCGGTTCTATGACAGGTGATTGGCGGTTCTATGACAGGTGATTGGCGGTGGGCGGTTCTATGACAGGTGATTGGCGGTGGGCGGTTCTATGACAGGTGACTGGCGGTTCTATGACAGGTGACTGGCGGTGGGCGGTTCTATGACAGGTGACTGGCGGTGGGCGGTTCTATGACAGGTGATTGGCGGTGGGCGGTTCTATGACAGGTGATTGGCGGTGGGCGGTTCTATGACAGGTGATTGGCGGTGGGGGGTTCTATGACTTGTGGGCGGTTCTCCAGGTGGACACGTTGCATTACCTGTTGGATTTGAGTCCATAGTGGATATCAATGCTGACGTTGTAGGAAATGAATTCTCTCTCCTCTTCTCCTTCATCCCCGACATCCTCTGTGGAAGAAAAGAACAGAATGAAGTGTGAATGGCGAGGTCAAGGAAGACACCCCCCCCCCGATAATCGGCCCACCCAAAGGAGGAACTTGGAACCACCTCCGGACCAGTGATGTACCAGCCCAATGGACTCCCGGTGGTTGCAGCAGCCGCATCACCCCGGTACAGCATCACCCTGGTGCCGCTTCCTAGAGCAGGAGGTCGGCTCTCTTGTACAAGCGATCGGAGCGCCTAACTAGCTGCTCAATTGCAGGTACAAGAAGAGAGGACAACCCCCCCCCCCCCCCCGCAGGTCTCCTGGGGTCTCCAGTCCCTCTGCTGAACAAGGCCGGAATCCGCTTTGCTCGCCCTTCTAGTAAACGGAAAATCGATGAGCTGACATCACTTCCTGTTTA